CTGGGGGACGTCCCTCCTCCGCCGGGGTGTCGGGCCGCGTGGTCCTGAAGACGGCTCCCCTGGAGACAGACACTCAGGCCCCGCGTAGCCCGGGCCCTCTGACCGGTGTCCTCGCCATCCCCCTGGCCTGTGCCTGAGCTGAGCCACCTTCCTGTCCCTCGGCCCTGGGCAGGAGGCACAGCGAGGAGGGCCCGGCCTCCCTGTAGTCTTCCCGCACAGGCCACCTGCCCAGGAGGGCTCAGGAGGGCTGGATGGGTGCAGTCTCCCCCGACCCAGCTGCACAGGGGCTCCCCCTCGTGGCCTGCTCTGCGGGTGGGCGCGCTCACCAGCCGCCAGATCCTGTCCCCGCCCACCTGCCCACCCACCTTCAGGGCCCAAGCCTGGACCTCACGCTCTCTGCCCGGCCTGTCCTCGGCAGGTGTGCTGACCCAAGGGCAACCCCCCAACCCCACCCACCGTGCGGTGCTTTCCTCAGCCCTCGTCCCCTGGCCGTGGCCTCATGGCTGCCTCGGGGACACCTTCAGAGACAGCCCCACGGGGAGGGGAAGAGGTGGCCAAGCCAGCCCAACCTCTGAGCAGCGGGACCGCGGGCCCCCTGCTGGGTAACGCCCTGCCCTGGACGTGGTACCTGCCACCGGAGGAGGAGACCCCGCCCTCGGGGGGGACCTGTCGGCTGTTGGGTTGGGCCCACGGGAGTGGGAGCGGGAGTGGGAGGAGGCCGTCCAGAGCTGCAGAGCGCACCTGAGGTCCCTGTGGCTGACACCTGTCACCCTGCATGCTCGCCGACCCTGTCTTAGCGGCCACCCCATCCTCATCCCACTGGCTCCGTCGGGGTTCCGGGGGTGGGGGCTGCCCTGGAGCACCTTGGCCCTGTGCCCTGGAGTGGGGTGAGGCCACCCGGCCCACGGGAACCCCAAAGGTCCCCAGGCTAATGTTCCCCTTGTTGAAGTGCTGGGACTCCCTCCCCGTCTCGGGTGAGTGGCAGCCCCACCCACCCTGAAGAGCCAGTGCTCCCCTTTCCTCACCCCAGTCCCCTTCCAGCCTCTGGTGGGGGGGGCGGGGGGGGGTGGCGACAGGCAACAGGGAGGGTCAGGTGCAGAGGTGTGGCTGGGCCAGGGGTGGGGGCTGGCTGTGGGGCGGGGGGGTGGGGGTGGCGGTGGTCAGCTGGGCCATCCGCCTGCCTTGCCCTGCCTGGACTCGGACCGGACAGGACCTGCAGGACGGGGGGCTGCTCCAGACTGGGGTGACCAGCGCTCCCCTCCCTAGACTTAGTAGAGGAGATGGGGCCAGCCTGGGGAGGGTGTGTGGCCAGGACCGCTCCTCTGCTCCGGGCGCCTGCTGGCAAACAGGGCCCAGGCGTGGGGCCTGGTGGGGCTGAGCCCCCACCACCTCTGCTGGCTCTGGACGGGTCACCAGGCCTTCACAACCTGTGTGTAGAGCCCGGCTGAGGGCCCAGGCCTTGCACCCCTCCCTGTCTCCTCCTAGCAGCCTGGGTGGAGGGCGGGGGGGCCGGCCGCGGGTGGGGGGCGGCGTGTCCTCCAGGGATTTTCTTAGTGGGGCAGGGTCCCGGGCCGGTTTGCCCCTAGCAGGATGGAGTCCTGGTGCTCCTTTTCCTGGTGCCATCTGCCTGTCCTACTCCGGGGCCCTCTGCAGGGATGGCGCCCCAGTCTTGCTCCCCCCTGCCCCCTGCCCGCGCGGGCCTCAGGCTCAGGCCTGGTCTGTCCTGTAGCCTCTGTCCGGCGCTGTCCCCAAGGGCTTGTTCTCCCCCAGGCTGGCATCTTCTGCCCTTGCGGCCCCACGTGTGTCGCAGCTGCCTGGGCACGATGTGGTGTCCAGGGAGGGACAGGGACTCCTGGTTGGCTCGGCTCAGCTCTGGAGCTGTGCTTCCGTGGGGGCCCTGGCCAGCGTGCCCGGTAGGTAGAAGCGGCGGGCCTGACTTTATCCACCTGTGTCCTGCCTGCCTTGAGTGGGACGGTGTCTCCTGGGACTGGCCACCGGGAGCCGCGGGTAGCAGGCCAGACCCAGGTTCAAGAACAGCATGGACCTGGGGCACCTGGGTGGCTCAGTTGGTTAAGCGACTGCCTTCGGCTCAGGTCATGATCCTGGAGTCCCGGGATCGAGTCCCGCATCGGGCTCCCTGCTCGGCAGGGAGTCTGCTTCTCCCTCTGACCCTCCTCCCTCTCATGCTCTGTGTCTCTCATTCTCTCTCTCTCAAATAAATAAATAAATAAATAAATAAGTCTTAAAAAAAAAAAAAACAAAACAGTGTGGACCCAATGCCACTTTCCTATCCTTTGGGCCCTTAAGGCCTTGGGTATTTTATCTTTCTGGAGCCACAGACTGCGCACCCCTTGAGCTGGAGTCTTTGCAGGGGGCCTGCTCGGAGCTAGGACCAAGCGGCCCTGAGCCATGCTCTCTAGCTGCAGCTGCTGGCTTGTGTGCAGCAAGGGGTCAAGTCAGGTGCACCCCTGGGTCTGCCCTGTGTGGACCTCCTCTTCCCCTGGGAATGTCAGGGGCACAGCTGCCAGACTCTACCCCTTGCCAAGTGTGTAGGGCACTCCTCTCCGCCTCCCTGTCCTGGGATGCTGCTCAGCCCACTCTGGCAGCCGGAGCCCGCACACCTGGTAGCCTACCTTGGGCTGCCGGGGCTTCTGCCCCAGTGGGGCTGACACCCTGGCACCAGCAGAGCCACTGTCCACTGGATCAAGGGCCGCTATTGCCCCCCTGCTGTGCCCCTGGGCACCTCAGGAGCCCTCGGTGGGGAGGGAGGGGCAGGAGGATGGCCTGAGCCCTTGGGAGTGGGAGAGCTGGAGCCCAAGCTGCTCCAGTGGGCCCTAGGTTGCTTCGGGGAAGGGGGCCTGTGGGAGCTTTCAGAGAGGTAGTCCCAGAGTCCTAGAGAGCACTAGGTGGAGACCCTGAAGCCTGGGGCCCCATCAGAGCCCCGTGGAGCTATCGACAACCTTTGGATTGGGGCATATGGAGACGAATGGAGATTGTTGTCCTTGGGGAATAAATGAATGGAAAGGGGGAGACTATGTCACATGGGTGGGACTATTTCCTGTCTTCTTTAATGCAAGAAACCACAGTGGGTGCCAAACACACCTCGCCTCCCCCTTTATTGCAACAGATAGAGGCCTATAGAGGGCCATTCCATCCAGAAGCCATACCGTCTCTCTCCCTTCCTTGGGATGCCCCAAGCTCAGCTCCTCTTCCTCTCATGCTGTCCCGTCACTCTGCCCCAGCTACTCCAGAGTGTCACCATGTCAACCTTGCCACTTCCCCAGGTCCCATGTTGGGTCCACTAGGCTCCACTTGCCTTTCTGCCCAGACCCATGGCCTGCCCAGGTACTGAGTGCTTGTGGGGCAGCTGCACGCCCAGGCAGGGTCAGGCCCTCCTCTCAACACACTTGATTTGGGATCAGCTGGTGATCGGTTGGGTGAATCAGTTAGTGCCTCTCTCAGGTCCTGGTGCACTGGTGACCCGACCCAGGTTCACTGATCTGCCCATCAGACCCTTTTGTCATCAATGAGGCATCATGTTGTGCCCATGCCCACCGGCCCCTACAGAACATCCAGGTCTCTGCCCTTGCACTGGCACGGGGAGGGGCAGAGGCGGGGAGCCTGGTGACGTCCATGCCAAAGGTGGCTGGGCCCTGGGGGATGAGCCAGGCAGGAGTGACTTGCAGGAAACAAGGGAGGCTGAAGCTGTGGGGGTGGTGAGAAAATTAGAAGCAATTCATTTTTTTCTGTATATTCTAAATGCACGTGTTACTTTTAGGAAAACACACACACCTGAGAGAAAGACTAGCATGGAGGAAAAAAATGGCCAGGAGCCAGGGGTAGGTGCGGTTCCAGTTCCATCCCTGACCCAAGCTCACTGTGTAGCCATAAACAGGAGCCCATGGGTGCTGTGCCAACTGAGGCTGGGTCTGGCTGAGTCCTACCACCTGAACAAGGAGCTGGTCAGAGGCAAGGAAGTGACCTGTGCCCAGGAGGGACAGACCGTGAGGGCAGGGGCAGGGCCTTCCAGCCACCGCCTCCCCCACCAGCCTCCCCTTGGGCTGAGGGCTGAGGGCTCACCTTGTGAGTCCCCGTCACTTCGGGGACGTACCAGACAGAGAAGGTACGGTTCTTGTCATTATTGGCAGTCACCTTTGCCTGTGGCGGGAAGGAGCCCATGAGGCCCTGCTCTGAACGGAGGCACCGCCGTGCCGTGCCCTGCCCGCCTGCTTGACGGTGGCCCTACCTCTTCCTGGTGGCCGGCTGGGTCCTCCACGTACACCAGCACCTCTCCCATCAGGAAATTCCTCATGGAGCCTCTGCTTCCCACCTGAGTGCTTGGAGTGGGGTCCAGCCCCTCTGTACTTTCCCACCCTCTGCTGGCAGAACAGAATCAGTATGTGTGGCCTCACGTGGCATGCTACCCTGGGTTTCCTTAGCACTTACTTTAAAAAAATATATGTAAACTTTTCAGGTTATGAAATACCCCCTTCCCCCACAGAAAACCTGGAGAGAAGCAATACAGCCAGGTGAGGGACTGGATTAGACCCAGAAGTGATGGGGCATTTCAGAGTGCTGCGAACCTTCCCCCATGCCATTCAACAAGCAGCTTTCCAGGAGAAACCCCACCAAACACACGCCTCATTTCCTTCCCATCCCCCTGCCCTCGGACACTGAGGCAGGTTGTCAGCTCTTCCCCATCAAAACAGCTGTAGCCAGCATTGTGCATGCACCCTCACCCGCATTTCCAAGTGGGCTCTCCACATCCCGTGGGGGCACAGTTCTTTGCCTAAGTAGTTATAGCAGCTTTGGGTAACAAGTCAGGGAGTGAACCCTGCAAGTAAAGCACAAACACGTCCATAGGTAGCATGTGATCCCTACCCCAATCCCAAAGCAAAAAGGGAGAACCAACAAAGCCAGATGTCGATCCTGGAGACCCAAGGCCTGGAGGTCTCCAGCCAGGGGAGCCTGATCCCTATCCAGAAGAAAGAGCCCACACATTAAAAATAAATGGTCTTTTTATTGTGTGTCCACGAAAACAAAGTCAGGGTGGCCTTAGTTAATCCCCCCAACGAGGTGACAACAGACAGGAGGCATGCAATGACAACAACCATATTCTCCTCTCCAGGAGAAGGGTCTCGCCTTCCTAGGCCCTAAGGGTCAGAGGCAAGCAGGACCAGGAGACTCCAGAGGAAGGCCTGCCCGGGCCCACCATGCCACGGAGGGCCTGGGCTCACTGCCTCCCTGGCAGAACAAGGCAGGGGGAGCAAGCACTGACCTGGGCCAAGCCCAGCACTCCCAAGCTAGAACACACAGAAAAGCCCCCACCCCCTCCCCCAGCAAACACTACTAAGGCAGTCAGCCAGGACTTCTGAGAGAACAGCTGGCCATGAAGGCAGACCCTCAGGGCTCCGTCCAGAAGGGATTGCCATCCTCAGCCTGCATGGAGTAGTAAACAAAGAGCAGGAAGGCAGCAAAGACCAGGAATAGGAGCAGCTGGCCCCAGAGTGGGACCTGGCGGTCCTGGCCCAGACCAGCCCCAGCGGCCTGCTTTTCTGGCCGGATAGCACGACGGGTGAGCCACGAAGTGGGAGAAGCTGAAGATGAGGATATGGGAGAGGTGGAAGAGGATGTGGGATAATAGGACAGGCCCAGGGAGCTTCTGGAGACGTTGGAAACAGGGCGGTAGTGCACGATGTTCTGGTAGGCGCTGTCCCGGCCATAGGCAGGGCGTTCCCTTAGGCAAAGAGGAGAGCAGATGAGCCAAGAGGGCCCGGGCCCAGAATCAGCCCTGGTGCCTGGCCCTTCCTGCTACTTACCTATCCTTGCTTTCCTCTTCAGAAGAGAAAAAACTGTCATCGCGCACCTATAGATAAGAGTCAGGGAGAGGGGACTGGCCGGCAGGGTCAGTGTGGCCTGTCCTATCCCTCAGTCCAAACTTACCCAGCCGGCTTATTCTGACCATTGCTTAGAGGCCCAGACCCTGTTCCCTCCAAAACTCTTCAGAGTTCCCAGCCTTATGTCTGTAGGACTTTGTCACTTGCTCAATGACTGTTCTGGCTGCCGGCACCTTACTTTGTGCCCCAGGGTTCTGAGAAAGAGCTCAAACCTAGATCCCAGACCAGGGTGCAAGGCATGTCCCACATGTTCTAGTTTTAACAGTTCTGACAGCCCCCCAGAAGAGGGCCCTGACCAGGAAGGTGTCTGCTCACCCTACCTCTCTGGAGGCACAAGACCTACCATTTGCACCCAGCGGCCCCCTTGTTTTGTCCAAACCCAGCTATGACCCCCATGGGTTTGTACCCAACTGCTCAACAGCCAGCTCACCTGGTGGTGAAAGGTGTCTGTATCTGCGAGTGAAGTTGAGGGCTGGCGGAATCCCTTGGAGGTGCCCACAGGCTCAGGCTCCCCATAAGTCCTGGTGGTCAAATAACTCTCCTCATAGTAGTCGTCACTATAGTCTTGGGAAGGGGAGACAGCGATAGTAAAGGGGACAGCAGTGTCCCCCACCGGGCCCAGTCGCCCTAATCTGAATCCCATTTGGAAGCCTGTGACACGGTTTCTCCCCTCTAGGGCTGCTGAGAATGATGGGGATTGAGATCTCAGGTTCTCCCTGACACCAGGGTCCCTGAGGGAGTGGAATAAAGGTGGCAGGGTGCCCACCCCACCCCAACTCAGCCTTACCCTTGCTCTGGTAAAGTAAGGCGTCCTCTTTCTTCGGCAGATCATACATATCCGAGTCCACGGATGCTGAATCTAAGTCTGAAGGGGGGGGGGGGGGACAGGAGCATTTGCCCCCATGGCTCCGCTCCCTTTTCCCCATGCCCCTCCCAGCCAGCGCCCCTGCCACACCCTCCCGACCCCGTCCTCCCCGTCGCCCAAACCCTGTCCCCGCGGGAGGCCAGGTGGAGCTGTGGGGCGGGGGCCTCACCCGAGAACCGATAGGAGAAAGAGGATGCGGACGAGTTCGGCGGCGAGAGCCTCCGCCTCTGGGTCTCGTATTCGAAGATTTTCTTTTCGTAGAGCTTGCGAGTGGAACCTGGCCAGACAGACGCGAGGCGGTCAGGGACGCGGGCCGGGAACCCGGGGATAGCGCGGGGAGGGGGCCCGCTCGCCGCCGCATACCCACAACAGGCCCGTGCGGGATGTTGTACTGGCGCAGCACGGCGGCCAGCTCAGCGTCCGACAGGACCGCGTAGTCGTCCATGGCGGGCGGTGGGGACCTGGGGGTGGCCCGGGCCTGGCGACACGGGCCGAGCTACCGCTGCCTCGGAGCACGGCGGGGGCAGCGCGAGCGTCTCGGGAGCGGCAGCACTCGCGTCACGCCTGCGTCACGCTCGCGTCACGGCCGCGGGCTCTGCGGACGGCGCGCGCTGTGCGGGGCGGGGCCAGGCCGCGAGGAGCGGCCCCTGTCGGTCGGTCCGGCTGTGGGAGCCGGCGGGGCGGGCCAGACGAGGCCCACACGGCACAAACGGGCGGGACAGGCTAGAGGCAAAAGAGGGGCGGGGCGAGCGCGGAAGCCCAAACTGCGCAGACCCGACTGGCCGCCGGAGCCGGGGGGGCGGGCTCCGTGCCCCGGGAAGGGGGCGGGGGCGGCGAGCCAAGCGGCGCCACCTGCTGGCGCGTTTGGGCGGGGCTTGAGAGAGGAGCTGGGCCTGCGTGGGAGCGGAACGAGCGTGGGCTCGCCGGGACGTGGGAGCGGGGCGGGGCCAGCGACCGAGGCGTCACCCACTGGCGCGTCCCGGCCCGAAGGGAGGAGGTAGGGGGCCTACGCAACTCGAACCGGCAAAAACCGGCCAAGACAGGAAAGCGGCGCAGGATTGACGCGCTGGGCGTGGCTCGCGCTCCCTGAGTCACGTGGGCTTCGACCCGGCCCCGCCGCCCCAGTAGCCCCCACCTCCCCAGCAAGCCCCCGCCGCCCTCTCCCTACCCCGGACTCCTGCGCCTGGGGCTCCCCGGCCGCACCCTGGCCGGCCGCCCCTGCCGCAGCGGGAAGGGACCCGACCCCAAGAGCGGGCCCTTGGAGAGCGCGGCTCCCGGGCCGGGCGCCGCCGCGAGCGAGCGCTTTGCGCGCGTGCCCCATGCCAGGGAAGCAGCCGCCTCAGACCCCCGGCGCCAGGCCCGCCTTCCCGCTCTACACGGCCCTGGCCTGCGCACCTGCGCCCGCCCGCGCCCGCCATCCCACCGGTCCCCACCGCCTCCCTCCCTCCCCACTCCACCCGGGAGGAAATGGGGCACTGGGCCAGGAGGCCGCCAGCACTCCAGGAGCAAGCAGTCTTGCAAGGGACTGGGCGTGCCAGTGGGCACTGGCAGAGGGCCCAGTGAGGCGTGCAGACAGCGAGTGTGTGCCTGACCCACCATGCCGTCCACCTGGGGTGCTGGGGGTTTCCTCTCCTGTTGCAGTGCCTCCCCCAATGGCCCCAGGAGGCAGCCTGGCAGGGGGCGCGGGAGAGAGGGAGTCTTCCAGACCCGGAGGGCCTGCTCAGGAGTTCCAGTAAGGCTTGGCAGGCTCTGAGTACCTGGGTCTGGGTGGGCTTCCAGGACCCGTGGCAGTGCAGAGGGGGCCCCGAAGGACAGGGGTCCAGGGTACTGATGTGGGTGAACCATGGGAGGCTGCCAAGGCCGGCGGAAGAGCCTGGACTGTCATTAGGCATTGTTGAGGGCCTTAGTCAGGAAAGAGCTGTTCCTGGGGAGATTGGAAAGGAGGTGACAATCATATTCTAAATGAAGCCAACTCATGGAGTGTGGGTCCAACTGAAGCGGCCCTCCCCGGGCAGGCCCAGAACTGGGAGCATAAAGAGAGGAGGTGCTATCTCTGATACCAGATGACAGCTGGTGACAGGGAGAAGAGAGGAAGTCTCTGGTCCAACCCAGCCTGGTTGATCCAGCTGGTGAGGGTCACAGACCAGTTAGTTCTCTCTGGGTCATGGGGTCTAGAAGAGGTAGCCACACAGGGAGTGGTGAGATGTGGCCTTGATGTGACCACACACAAAGACCCTCAGAGGAGTTGCTGCTGGCCGAGTTTTAGACTACAGGCGAAGCCTGCTCTGTCTCCTGAAATAGGAGGAGGAGGTGTGTGAGTCTCCAGACAGGTGCATGGCAGTAAAAGGGGGATAGCCCTGGGCAGGGCAGAACAGGGGCTTGCTTATCTTTCAGAGCAGGGAAGGGCATGGCATTTGGGCTCTGGGCGCTCAGAGGCTGTCTCATGAAATTTTGAGTTTTGGCAAGATCAGATTCCCCAGCACCTCTCCAAGCCTTCTTCTGCAATGCTGGCCCCTGTCCCAGAGGCTCAGTCCTCCCCCATGCCACCCCTCCCTGTAGGGATCCAAGCTGTTTCCTTATGAGGTCAAGGAATTCTAGGTTTGCCTTCTCCCCAAGGAACTCCCTCTCCTCTGGCACCTGCCTCGGCACTCTGTCTTTTATGTCCCACCCATTGCCCCCCTGTGGAGGTCCCACCATGGATGGCACCAGGAGGCTGAACTGTGATGGTCCCTTGAGCCCACCCTGTGGGCACCTGTAGCCTAAGCCCAGCCCTGCTGCAGTGCAGACCTGTTCCAGACCTCCAGAAACCAGGCACGCCCTTGACTATGGGAACTAAGAGGCACTCTGTGCCACCCCCATCACCTAGAGGAGGAATTGGGGGCTTAGAGAGGGAGGAGACTTGTTAAGGACCTTTAGTGCAGCAATTCAATCACGGACATTCCCACAGCTAGATTTTAGTTCTCAGGGCAACGATCTGGACAGTGTGGCCCAGTGGGGGTTCTGAGCCCTCACAGGGGCTGTTGGGGGAAATCTTCGGCCTCCAGCGGAGTCTTTCTGGGAAGGGTGTGCATAGGTAAATAAGAAGAGGAATTTTTTTGGAACTACAGCCAGGGTGAGAAGGACTAGGAAGCCACCAATTCCAAGTCAAGAATAAGAAGACGGTTTCTCTCGGGGCCCCTGGGTGGCTCAGTCAGTTAAGTGTCTGCTTTTGGCTCAGACCATGATCCTGGGATCCTGGGATGGAGCCCCAAGTTCGGGGGGGAATCTCAGATCAGATTCCTCTGCCCCTCTCCCTGCTTGTGTGCTCTCTCTCTCATTCTCTCTCTCAAATAAATAAAATTTTAAAAAAAGAAAAGAAGAGGACAGTTTCTCTTTTAAGGATGGGAATGGCTTCGAAGCAGTATGTTGTGTAACTTGCAGTCCCAGGAGGATTGCAAGTTATAAGAAAAGCTATCAACACGAATACATTTCTCAGCATCCATGTCCAAGGAGAAGATTGTTCACTGAGCTGTTCACATTTTCTTTAAGATCAGAATGTTCTTAATACTTTAGTTTGATACAAAACTTAACTTTTCAGCATGCCTGGGTGGCTGGCTCATGGACTCTTGATTTCAGCTCAGGTCATGTTCAGGGTCGTGGGATCGAGCCCTTAATTGGGCTCCATGCTCAACAGGGAGTCTGCTTGAGATTCTCTCTCTCCTTCTCCCTCTGCCCCTCCCCCACCCTCTCATGCTCTCTCTCTCTCAAATAAACAAATAAATATTAACAAACAAACAAAAACTTAACAGGCACCTGGGTGGCTCAGTCGATTAAGCGTCTGCCCTCAGCTCAGGTCATGATCCCAGGGTCCTGGGATCGAGCCCCACATCAGGCTCCCTGTTCAGCGGGGAGCCCGCTTCTCCCTCTCCCTCTGCCCCTCCCCCCGCTCATGCTCTCTCTTTCTCTCAAATAAATTAAATCTTTAAAAAACAAATTTAGAAATTAAAACAAAAACTTTTCAAGAATGTTAAAGATCCTTTGGGTTTTACCTGGTGATATTCAAATGCTTTGAAACATTGTTCAGAGAGTAACAAAAGCCATAAGATCATGACTATTGTGAAAATTAATATGTGGAAGATTGTCACAATCAATATAAAACAGTGAATGGTTAGCTGACTAAGTGTCTTAGAGAATGCCTTGTGTTCCAATTCTAGAACACATTGGTTCATCTTTTTTTTTTAAGATTTTGTTTATTCATGTGAGAGAGAGAGAGTGCACAAGAGGGGGTAGGGGCAGACTATTGGCATGGCCAGGTGGAGATTCAGCCTGCCTTGGTGGCAAGAATGGAGGTGATTCTAGTTGTTTTCCAGAACCTTCAACACAAGGAGAAAAGGTCTCTAATTTAGTTTGATCTTCACCAGAGAACAGTGGGTGCTGTACAAACCTTTGCTTCCCCTAAGCCTGGAAGAAGTAGAGATCAAGAGCTGCCTGGCTTGCTGGGTTGTATATGGAGGGGAAGGGAGGCCGTAGTGTAAAAAGGATTCAAATGGAGGTGGGGGTCCCAGGATCCAGCCATGTGGCCATAGCCTCCTTCGTGACCCCCACCTATGGCAATGGCTTCCATTGTAATGTGTGTGGTAGGGTGGGTTTCCATCCTTGAAGGACAGCCTTGGCCATGAGCTCCAGCACAGCTACCTCACTGGCCTGAATCCATGCTGCTCATCCGTGCTCATCTGTCAAGTGATGAGAAGCCACTGCCCTCCCCAGCAGTGGGGGGGGGGGGGCGGTGGGGGGCGGTTCCCACCAGAGGGAGCAGCAGGAGACCCTGGCGTTTTTAGGAGCTCCCACTGCGGGTCAAGGGGGAAAGGTCATTGCCAGTAGAGGTAGCTAAGGCAGCAGTGAGTGCGTGGAGGCCTGGAGGGCGGTCAGCGTTAACATCGTGGCTGGCTAGCCAAATTCAGTCAGCAGGGACTACCAGCTTCTTTCTCCCTCCCTCTTTTCCTGCCTTCATTCCCCCCTTCCTTCTTTTCTTTTTCTCTTTTACTTTTTATTTTTTTAAAGATTTATTTATTTGAGAGAGAGAGAGAGTGTGCGTGTGTGAGAGTGGGGGGGAGGGGCAGAGGGAGAGAGAATCCCAAGCAGACTCCCCGCTGAGCGCAGAGCCCAACCTAGGGCTCCATCCCAGGACCTGAGATCATGACCTGAGCCAACATCAAGAGTCCGTTGATCAACCGACTGAGCCCCCAGGCCCCCCTCTTTTTCTCTTTTAATGAAGTAGAATAAATTTTATTTTATTTAGATTTTATTTATTTATCTGAGAGAGAGAGAGAGAGAGAGAGCACAGAGGCAGCGGGAGAAGCAGACTCTCCACCGAGCAGGGAACCAGATGCGGGACTCAGTCCCAGGACCCTGAGATCATGACCTGAGCCCAAGGCAGTCGCTTAACCCACTGAGCCAGCCAGGCGCCCCAATGAAATAGAATAGAATAAAAAAAAAAAAAATCAGAGTGCTTTTCAGGTAGTAAGGAAAAGTTTCATTTGGTGAAATGTTTCTGTTATTTGTGTCGATATGTGCTTGCCTGCGCGAGCCGTCTCCCACCGGCAAGCACACAATACTGGCTCGGGAAAGAAAATGTCCTTCTCCTTGGGGGTTGTGGGCAAAGTGTTACAATGGCACTGCTTTCTGGGACC